ATTTCATATATTTATAATGTCATTTGATCTGTGAGCTCCTATATTTTGAAATTGCAGGAATATGGTGGGGGAGGGCACAAAAATGCCAGTTCCTTTATGTTGGATGTTGCAGAATTTGAGAAATGGAAGGTTCAAGTTAGATGATTATTTGGGCAGGTGACTTATGTGCAACAGCAGAGAGAGAGAGAGAGAGAGAGAGAGAGAGAGATGCCCATTCAATCATGGGCGTGCTGTTAAATTGAGATGTGCGGAGAACATGTATATAATAATTTAAGAAGAGGAATAAGATTTCTTTTCTTTTTTTTTAAAAAAAAAGAGGATTAGTATTAACTTAGTGGATTATTATGTCTACTTTCCTTTATGAGATAACATGAATATCACTTCATAAAATTATAGAAATGTATATGAGAAGATCATTTACTTTTGATGCAAGGATGTTATAATCACTATTGACTATTGTATGTGAAATCGGCTCAGGATGTATTATTGATTGAATACAAAGTCTAAAATAAAATATATCGAATGTTGATAAATTTTTGTCTAATGGTTAAAAATAATTGTGACATCTTTATATAAAAAAAAAAATGGTCTCATCGTATTGTTGGGTACCCTCATGCAATACATAATTTCGTGAATTACCTCTTGATGTGATGGTAATGTTTCGTTCCCAAGCTTCAAGTACGGTTTTAGATTCACATGCTTCAGATGGCTCATGTCACTTGTAATACCAAACAATTGGCATAATAATGAAAAAGAAGAGCAGTGGACCACCATATAAAAAGTGAATCTTAAAATGTAAATATTAGCAAGTGAGATGTTTTCTATTAAGGGTGCAGTTGGCATATGCATCCGTAGCTGTAGAGGTAGGGTGCATCTTCAAATTTTATCTTGATATATAATTTTGATGTAAGATGTTCTAAGGCTTATCTCAAAATCTATTTTTATATTTAATTATCAAATTTTAAATTTAAAAAATGGTTAAAATCGAGTAGATCTATAAACATATGAAAATCTTGAAAATGGACGGTGTAGATAATATATTGTAATATGTATTATTTTTGAGATTTAAAATCTTTTTATTTTTCATGGTCATATATCTCAAGATGACCAATCAAAGGGTTTTTCAACATTAAAACTACCTTTTTCGACGGACTTTTGAGGTGCATTCGTAGTTCTAAATTATAAAGTTGCATCCTTATATAAACTTTTTCCTTCTATTAATTGCCAAAATTTTAAACAAAATTGGACTGCCCTCGGATGGGCTAGGTCCAATACGAAGTGTTTTTAAACCTCGGATAGGCTAGGTCCAATACGAAGTGTTTAAACCTCGGATAGGCTAGGTCCAATACGAAGTGTTTAAAGGGGGAAGTTAGAGTTTAGTCAAAGACACTTACAACCACAACCACGCAATTTAAAATCCGAGGGAGGAGAGTGATCGTGACTTAAAGTAGAGTGCATGTATATTGTGCTCACGCGGGAGCATATTATGTATCCATTCCCTCACTCAAAACACCTACTTAGAAAACTTTTTGTCTAATGTTTTGGGAACTACATAAGAATTAAGAATTACTAGATGATCACTTTTAGATGAAAATTTGAATTTTGAAATTGTGACACTCAAATCTAACCCTTAAAAAATTGGACAAGTCTCTATTCAATCTTGAGTCATTATTTTTTTTTTTTCAATCTTGAGTCTTTCTTATTTTTTTTCTAGTACATAGAATGTTTATTTCAAAAAATTTTATGGTGAAATCAGTCCATAGGATTTAAGGATTACATCTCCAGAATTTGAGATCTAATAAATACCCCAAGCAGAGTAAATGATATAATTTATTCCCGCGCGAGCACGAATAGTATCTTTCTATTGTCAAGAACTCCAGATAGTTTCCGCAACACTTTGAATTGCCGATCCCCAAACCGAAATTTCCATGAGTTTGGACTTTGGACCCTCCCGCTATTCGTTTTCTGCATTTTAAATTACCAGTTATTTTGCAAACATTAAAAAAAGTGACTCCTTAATCCTTAGGTCTAGAGAGCTGCACTGAAGTAAAACTCAGGGTCTCTCTGCAATTTGGTGTAGAGTTTCATAAACGTTCTTATGTATTTTGGAAAAGGTTTCTATACTTTTTATATTTTTTCTACATTATAGAAGGTTTATGCTTTCCCTACTATCCATCCGTTTAATTTTGATCAAGAAAGTCATTTATCGTTTGATCTTAGATTCGACGTCTCAAAATATTTTATTTTTAGTTTTTTTATGTATGAATAAGAAATTTGATACGTGCCATCATCTCATTGAGGTGCATCTATAAAACATATTAAAAATAATTTTTTAATAAAATATAATAATCAAAATATTTTTTAAAACTTTTAAAGGTATTTTGATCATTTTATTTTTTAAAAGTATTTTGATCATTTTATTTTATTGAAAATATTTTAACGAGTTTAATAGAAGATTTGATGTACAAAATTTGGTGTCTAAATAGTTTATAAAAAAATAATTAAAAATAAAATAATATAGAAATGTGACAATGTAATTGAGATAATTTTAACCCTCCATTCGAAATGGAGGGTTGGATAAAGGGAGAGAGGTAAATATTATGTTGTAGTGGAAGCGTAAAAAGCTTTGCCATGTATTTTACGACTGAAAAAAATTAGGCGTTTTCTCTCGAACGATAAAAGCCGAAGTTATTTCTGCCTAAAACCTTTGATTGAACAGCAGATGTGATTTTCTCTCACCACACTGAAGCAAAAGGAAGCGATCTCTCGGATATTATCATTTTCTACATAAAAAAAAAAGGCATTGCGGTTTTCTCTCTCTGTAGATTGCAAAATTAGAGGGATCTCGTGATGAAATAATTCTTTTGGCGGGTCAGGGGGATGTAATTTTCTCTCTCCAGAGATAAACTGCAAATGGATGGTTCAGAAGCCAAGAAGTATGTTTGGGAGGGGGCCATCCCTTTGCAGATCCACCTCCATGAATCTGAAGTCACCACTCTTCCTGCTCCTCCTCCTGCTTTGGTATCTCTCTCTACCTTCTTCCTGTTCATCTCTGTCTCTCTACTCTATTCTATTTAGTTTCCGTAGTCTATTGACTCAAAGCATCTTCGGACAGTCTTTTCTTTCTCACTCTAGATTTTACCGTGCTATTTTAGCAGACTCTTTTTCTTCTGTATTTTACAGTGATATTTCATCTGTGATTATTGATTATTCTCATAATGGTTTTCAACTTTGATTTGTATCATAAATTTTTAGTCAGCTTTTCGGTTTTACTCAGGCCCTTTGTGTTCTGTGCTAGGTCATCTATGCTCTTCATTCTCTTTGAGTATGTGCTTTTAGATATTTATGGTGTTGGGAAATGGAATTTCAGGTTTTAGGTCCTCGTAATGGGTACTTGCCTCTATTAATACCTCTAATAAAGCCTCATTTTAGTAGCACACTTCCTCCTGGATTGGACACTGTTTGGTTTGATTACAAAGGCTTGCCATTAAAATGGTATGTTTTTCTTGAATCATTTTTGATAATTGTTGTTTATCATTTATTCATTTGTATATGTCCGTTTCTAAAGAAGTTTCTCTCTTTTGAAAGTGGTTTGCTAATGTACTGTTTTCCTGGAATGTGAATGAGAGCAGCATAAATGTATGAATAATCTTGATTTGTTCTTCGCGAATATGAATAATCTTGATGTGTTCTTCGCGAAGATGGAGTTGCTGTTAGTGATGTAACTTATTCTGAAGGTTTTTGTTTTTGTTTTTTGAGGTAAATAACTAGTTGAAATTATTTCATTTGTATCGTTTGTCTTTCTTATACATTTGTATATGGAGCTGTCTTTTGGCCTTGTTTAAAATTGTTTTGTTCATTGTGATGACCTTTGTCATTTTGTATGCACTTATTATTTTTTTGGATTATGAGAATCATCTATTTCACCATGATTTACTCTTAGTATTTGGTTGACAGATCATTCACAAACATAATGGATGAGAAGGGGTACTATCATTCTCTGCCAATATATCTCTAGTGGTTCCTCCTTAGTGCATTATTTTCTATGGTCACAAGTTCACAATCATTAGAAGATTTTTATCAATTGCCTTTTCCTTTTTTTGGTAGTTCAGCTTTAGGATTTGAACTTGGGCTTTATTCTAGCAGCAACACCTTTGTGAATCAAACCCAAGCCCAAGCCCAAGCCCAAATCCGATCTGTTAATAGTTTCTGCAAGTCTGTTTCAGTGTCCTTTGTATCTTCTTTCTTGAGGAAAACCATAATTGCAATTGTCCATGAAGCATCATTGCAATTTTTTTTTGTTGCTTATTCAACTTGGCGCTCTCAATGGTATTGATTGATCCAAGGTATTTTTTGCATCATCAGGTTCTTATTTTTACTTTTTGAGTTCTGATTGGCATGCCAGTATCCCTTCACTGTTTGTTGCGTAAAAGTTCCATTATCATTAGATTGACATTGTGCCATGCCTTGTCTCCTGTGCTTATGATGGACATTGTTGATTCTCGAAAGCACCTTTTGGCCTTCATCAATGTCTCTGATCCCTATTCCATTACATGCAATATGCATTTTGACTTGAATCAGAGAAAGAGAGAGGCATGGGATATAATGAATGGAAAAAAGACATATCTAAAAAATACTAGATTATAAGGGAAAATGAGGACCCACTAGTTGGGTGACTTGGGTCTCCTTGGACTCGGACCCAAACCAGCCAGCTGCCATGTCCAGGGTCTTGGACCTAGACTGTAATTGGTGGGTCCATTTTTAAGCACCTAGAGTTGGATCTAACTTGGATCAACCTGGTGTCTCTCTGGGCTCACCCAACCTGATTACCACCCTGAGCTTGGGTATTGATCCCAATCTCATTAGCAGTTATGGCCTGTTTTTACCTCTCACTTTGGTGATTCACAATCCTTTGTTGTATTTCATACATGCATGGGCAGGCACCTTAGGGCATTTGATCACATTGCCGTTGTTGTGAGCCAAATGCTCCTTGACCAGGTGAATGCCCCCTACCTTTATGGTTTTGTTTGATAGATACACATGTTTTTTTTGAAGTGTTTCGATAGATACACATGTTATCATTTTTATCCCCATTAATAACTCTATTTACATGCCCCCATTCTGGGTCAGATTTCACTTTGTTAGATCTAAATCATCATCATCATCATCATCATCTGAGCCTTATCCCAACTATTTGGGGTTGGCTACTTTGTTAGATCCACAATTTTTATTTGGGTAATCAACATCACTCAAATAATCACATAAACTCCTACCAAAATCAAATACCAAATACAGCACCCTAACCACATCGTTCTGTACTCAAATCACCAATTCGCATTTCACTATTCACCAACCAAAAAATAAAAATAATTTTCAAGAGTCCTAACATCAAAAACAAAAATTGTACAAAAATCCTCTGTAAATTTTTTAAAAAAGGATACATATAAAAATTGAATTATAGATTCATAGGGTAAGTGAATAACTAAAATAGGAAAGCCAACACCCTAAATATTGATTCCCGTTCATAACAAGCACAGAACGCATACTAGGACCTCAAGTTTTCCGCCCAAAATACCAATAGAATGACCACATTAGGGCCTATTAGGATGATAGTTAATATTATCTGGAGTATTATCTCAAACTTATGTGCTCTTGACAATTTTATCTTGTTAGCAGTTTGTTACGTATCTTGCATTATGTATAATATTATTGATTTATTTAACTTTTTCGGCAAGTTTCTATTATTTTTAGCTATTTCTGGCAAAAAAAAATGTGATTTTCAGTAAATTATTGCACATAAAGTAAAATTTAATTTCCAAAAAGATAGCCTTTTGGAACACAGCCTGTAAGCTAATCTCAGATAAGTTTATAGTGGACACTGCCAAAAGACATAATTTATTATCTGGTTAATTTTGTTGAAGTAATGAATTATTAGTGATAACGAGTACATCCAGACAAGCCCTAAACTTATTGCAATTTTCATAAATTATAAAAAATCGAAAACAATATCCAATGCTTAGAACACTGACTCTCATATCATAACAAGCACATATGCAGCCCAAAACCTCTAATCTTCCAAAAAGATAGGCTTTTGGAACACAGCCTGTAAGCTAATCTCAGATAAGTTTATAATGGACACTGCCAAAAGACATAATTTATTATCTGGTTAATTTTGTTGAAGTAATGAATTATTAATGATAACGAGTACATCCAGACAAGCCCTAAACTTATTGCAATTTTCATAAATTATAAAAAATAAAAAACAATATCCAATGCTTAGAACACTGACTCTCATATCATAACAAGCACATATGCAGCCCAAAACCTCTAATCTTCCACCCCAAAAACCAAAACAATCACCAATAGCAACTTCCATTAAGAAAAGCCCCAAAACAATAAACAACACCCAAAACATCCCATATCATAGCAGGTACAAAGAGCGCTCTAAAACCTAAAATCCTTCACCTTTGAAACCAAAATAGTCACTACATTAAACACCTCAAAACTTCCATAATCGAGAAAGACATAATAGAAAGCCCTAAACAATACCCAATTCCCCAAAACACCATTTCCTATATATTACAAGTACAAAATCCACCCCAATAATCTCAAATGTTCCAAGCTAAAAGACCATAACAATCAGTACATTAAACCCACGTTAATATCCATTTATTAACCTATGAAAAAATTTGCCAAAAACATCAACATAGAATCCTCTTTCTAAAACCTTTTAAAATCTTTTTTTTTTCCCTTATTTTTATTCAAAGTTATAAATCTAGAAGAAGAAAAATAGAACTCATGAGCTTACTAGTTTGCTGGGATCGCCCGGAAACTTGAGTGATAGAGGGCCGATTCGCTGGAGAATCTGCAGAGAGAAGTTGGGCATGCTTAGGTTTTTGGTTTAGAGAAAAGGGTGGTAGAAAAATCCCTTTCTTTGTTTTATTTTTAGGAATCTCGTGGGTCTTTAGCAAAATGTTTTAGGGTAAATAATGACTAGACAATATTAAAAAAGGCCAATCTTTCTTTCCATTTTGACCAGAAAATAGCCGCCATACATTGTTCAAAAAAGCAGATTGCCTAGCGCCTAGGCGGTCCAGAAGGCCTAGGAACATTGCCCAAGCCTAGGCGGCGAAATTAGGCGAATATCCCTTGGGGCCTGCCTATGCGCCCAAGAACCCGCCTGGGCGACACCTTAACGCGCCTAGGTGTACGCCCTCCCAAGGGCGGAAATGCGGTTCCTTGAGGGTATTTTTAGGTCATTTTTTTAATACTGAAGGGGAAAAATTGTGGGTTTTAGGTTTATTTGAAACGTAAAACTCATTAGAGGCTATTTTAGAGTGAGAAACCCCAAATTGTTTTTTTGTCTTCTGGGCCACCTAGGTTCTGGGGGTGACCGCCTAGGTGCCGCCTAGCGCTTTTTGAAACATTGCCCCCATAAATATTCCATCTCCGTAGATTAAGAAGACCAGGATCGGCTGGTTTGACCTGGACCAGTGGAACTGGCTGGTCCAACAGATCGACTTGGTTCCATGTCGCACCAGTTTGGGATCTCACATCTGACTGGTGTGGACACCGGTTTTGGCTCCCGCCTGGCCTGTCCGATTCTGATATCAGTAGTGTTACATTCCCTTATTTTACTAATGAAGTTCGAAACATAGAATTTGGAGAAGAAATTGTTGATTTTGCTATTGTATTATGCCAGAATTACCTTCCCTTCTTGTATCGAGCCATCAGACAACATTCTAAGAATTGCCTTCATTAAAATAAAAAAATATAAAAACATTCTAATATTGAGACTCAAGAGTGCCACAACAAAGGCCTTTCCTTTCATCAATGAGCTTGATGACGATAATTTATCTGCTTCAGATAATCAAAACGAAAACAAAGTACCCTTTGATCAATGAGCTTGAAGATGATAATTTATCTGCTGCAGATAATTAAAACAAAAACAAAGTACTGCCAAAAAAAGAAAGTTTTTTAAGGGTTTGTATACTGCACGAACATTTGGAATTTTTTTTTTAAAATATAAATGGGAACCTAAAAGCATATGCAACCGTCATTATTCATGATTGAATAATATACATTTTGAAATGCTAGAAGTCTCATAAACATAATTAACAAGCATGCTCGATGACGTATGCTTACTTCATTGTATTCCTTTATGTTATTTCTGTTCCCTAGAAGAGTTGTGCTTGTTCTGTGCTTATTTTCAGGTATATACCAACAGGGGTTCTTTTTGATCTTCTATGTGCTGAACCAGAAAGGCCTTGGAATTTAACGGTAGGAGACTGGGCTTATTGTGAGAATTTCATCAGAGATTGTCTAATGTTTATTTTATTATATTCTAATTGGTTGTTCTGTTGTAAAATTGCTGTGGATTGAAATTATTTAAGCTTCTGATCTAAAATGCTCCAGTCAAAGATGGTACCATGGCTTTAAGATCGTACTGTAGATTGTGACATTTTCTATATTAATTCGCCGCATTTCAAATTGTTTCCCTCTGTGCTTATATTCAGGGAACCCTTGACATTAAATAGTATTTAAAGGGTATCTCATGCACTACACAATGTCTTTACCAAACTTCTAAAAATATTTGCTTGTGAGGTTTATTATGTTATGTGAAGGTACATATTCTGTGTGATATTTTACTGCAGAAATCTGAAATGGTTGTCGATAGGAGGATGAAGTCTTTATAAACCAATCATATCTTTTGGTATTAAAGTACCAATTAAGAAAATAATTTTCCCCTTCATGCCAATTACCTACAAACCTTAGTCTCCAGGTCTTTGTTTTATGCTAGGTAGGTTAACTGGGAACTATTCCCAAGGGAACTCATAGGGCCAAACTGCATTCTTTAGCTTCTAGGATTTATTTATAGGATTGTTTGGCTTCAACCTTTAATCAACTTGAGGTTTGCGAATATTCATTCTCGTCTTACTATTGTTGGGTGGTGTGCATGTCAGAGTTTGTTCACCTTATTAAACATTGAATGTTGTTAATAGCAGAACAATATATTTCAGAGATTCTCTATGTTCACGTGGGTATCTGTGTCAACTTTTTCCCCTCCATGTAGATCTTGCTGAAATCATATGACTTGCAAGGAGCCTAAATGAGCCGAATTGATCTGTGCTTATGGATGAGTTTCCATGGACCACTTAATCATTGATTATATATCACATGATTACCTTAGACTGCTTTATGCACAACGCATGGGCCAATGTGTCAATAGAGTTACTTTGTATATGCAATGGTTGGCATAGTCTTGACTTAAATGCCAATTTACTATTTCTTGGAATTATGGATCACATGGTTCACAACCCTGACTTGGGGTGAACCCATTTATGAAAATTGTGCCCTTTATCTGAAACTCAAAGTATGTGGCACTGTACTTGGCTTGAAATGAATGCTACATTGACACCTTTATTTATGTGTGTCAAGCTATGTAATATCCTGCCACAAAAACTTATTAATGAGTTACAGTTTGTAGGTCCATTTCAGAGCGTATCCTTCAGAGACTTTGAGTCCCTATGAGGGCGAGGACAGTGTAAAGTGGAGCTTCATTAACTCATTGAAAGAGGTAAAATTAACTTGATTTAGAGCTCATATATTTTGTAGTATAGGTTTAAATGTAGATGTGCATTCCCAGTCTTACCCTAGGCATCTAAGATTTGTATTGAGTGGGTTAAATTTGTGTATTGTTGCAAATGAAATGTCCTTTGGATATGTTTCGAAATGGGAATTTTGTGGTAATCATTCAGACATGTGTTTCACTGAAGTGATTTGTGCCAAAATTTGTAAACTCTTTTTATCGATATGCAGGCAGCATATATAATGAATGGGAACTGCAAGTGTGTCATGAACATGTCACAGCCTGACCAGCTAATGCTTTGGCAGAGCGTGGTGAAAGGTTTGAACTGCTCGCTATTACTTTACCTATCATTGCAAATGCAGTAAATCTGCGTGATATTGTCTCAGAAATGATGATGACTACCTGCTGAGGCAAATTATGTCAACTTACTTGACTTAAGAATTGTAAATTATTAAAAATATTTCAGGGGGTTTTGCTAGAAAATTTCTTTGGCTCCTCATCTCCCACTCTTAATTCGCAATTCATTTGGAGCGGAAACTGGAAATAACTCTATCCCATATTAAACCATGGAACTGTTCTTACTGAGTATAGAATGGTTTGGAAAAAGTCTATGGTTGTACATAACCTCATTGACTAGTTGGGTTCATACTTTTCGTTTTTTGGTTGATTGCAAAAATGTATATTTGACATCGTTTTGCCCATCGTTCAAGTTATACCTGTGATGTGCGAATCGATGAATGTATATATTGACATATTGTATAGCATTTTACTTTTTTTATTTTTATTTGTTATTTTTTTATTTTTTTTAAGAATGATGTAACGACATTAGTGCCATTGGTAGGTACTGATTTATGTTGTGAAAAATCTGGATCAGATGGTCATTGAAGCTCTCAGGGAACATTGGCTGAATCTATTAACAGTCAAGTTCCATGAGGAGCAAATGTGAAACTCAAAAAGGACGGTATAGCAACCCTTAGGGGAACCTTGGAAGGAAATTAATAACATTATTATCTGATGATCCTTATAATGGATTTTCTCAATTTCTAACTTTTCCTTTTCATTCCAATAATCTTATCAGCGTCATTTCTTTGACCTTTTATATCAACAATATATGCCTACGAGCATTAGTTAAATCAATATTATATTAGGAAAAACTTTATATAAGGTTGCAACCTTAAAATGTAGAATTAAAGATGCACTTCAAAAATCCATCTGAAAAAGGTTGTTTTAATGTTGAAAAACACTGTAATTAATAATCTCGATATCAAGATGTATCAAAATAATAATATTAAAAAAGATTGAATCCCAGAAATAGTGCATCTTGCAACACATTATCTAGACCGTCCATTTTAAATGTTTTCATATGTTTATAGATCTACTTGATTTTAACCATTTTTGTAGTTCAAAATTTTATAGTTATATATGAAAATAGATTTTCAGATAGCTCTAAGAAATTTTCACACCAAAACTACATGTCATGATACAAATTGGAGGTGCACCTTAATTAGATTGTTTAAGGTTGCAACCTTATAGAAACCATACGCATTACATTATGGTCTATGACAAGTTTGATCGAGCAATCCTGTGAAATTTCACTTTGAAGACTTTTCAGCTTTTATATTGTTATGATGCTCTTTCACATCATTTAATCTCAGTCAAGAGTCAAGACTGCTTGTTAGCAACAAATATCTTGTGTCTTACCCCAATCTACCTCTTAAATTGGTAGCACATGCGAATTTCATATTGGGCTTGGTGTTAAAATACTTAGGAATTTGTATATCTCTGGGATGTTTATTTTTTTATCTTGGCTCCAAACCCAAGATACTTTTTTCAAGTCTAATGTAGAGTATATGTGGATTTTTGCATTATGCTGTTAATTGTGGGGTTTAGATTTTATGACCTACCTTGCTTCATGGAGATGCACTGTTGACTAGATAATGTGCTTTAAAGGTCATTTTCATTTTTTTTGTTAAATACTATTATTAAGATGAGTTGGACTTTTAGATAAGTGATCTTTAAAGTGGGGGCATATCTGTTTAGATACTCAGTAATAGATATGATTACTTGTATTGTTGTCCATTGATTCAAAAAGCCGACTGCCCAGCACCTGGGCGGATTTCCCTGGGCAGCCGCCTGAACCGGCCTAGGCGGCCCCCCAGGGCCTGCGCCCCACTAGGGGAAAAATTGCGGCTCATTGAGGGTATTTTTTGGTCATTTTTTTAATACTAAAGAGGCAAAATGGTAGGTTTTGGGTTCATTTGAAACCTAAAACCCATTAGAGGCTATTTTAAAGAGAGAAAACCCAAAAAAAATATTTCTACTAGGCCACCCAGGTTTTGGGCGCCTGCCTAGGCGTTGGATGGCCTGGACCCCCCCGACCGCCTAGGAGCCGCCTAGCGCTTTTTGAAACACTGTTGTTGTCACTTATAAGAAGTTTGTACTCCAGTTTCAAGGTGCATTGGTTTTCCTATAGCATATCTGTAAATCATATCACGATAAGGCTATACTTATTTTTCTATAAATAGTTCTTCCCCCCCCCCCTTGTTATTTTCACCATATGACATATGGATCACATGATAGGAGGTTATGGTCACATGTGATGATATGAGCTTATCACCACGCATTTTCTTCTGATTTGCTTTGGTTTGACAACAATAAAGCTCGTAATATTTGGTTTTCTGATTATTTTTAGGTGATCTGGAATGCTACACACGTATATTTTCGAGGCTCAAGTTTGGGACCATTGGAGAAGGTACATACAAACCATCTCCAGTCTCTATGTATGGTCAACATAGCTTTAGTGAAACTGATTTACTGGACCAAATCAAACAGGTCGATTTTAATTGAACTTCCAAATTCAATTTGTCATGCTGGTATAACGTGTGGAATTGAGTTTGAGATATCTTGCATATTTAAGCACATTCTGTTTGTGAGCCTGAACACCTAATCTCGACCTACTTATTCCATGGAACTGCATAGCATTCTTTTGTATTAAAATTTCCATTATATGAGAGCACTAGAAAAAATTGAACATACTACGAGATTACACTCTGAAATGAGAGCATACCCGAGTTATACCATTGAATTGGAGCTCCATATGGATGTTATGTGCTTGTATTAATGTGCACGTATGTGCAGGTAGAATTCAGTGGTACTGGGGACTATTCCACTAGGCATGCATGGCATGAGAGACAAAACGAGTGTTATTAACACTGGTCCAGATTGGCTGCTCCAACCGGTTGGCCTGCCAGCTGTTGCCTTAGCCGGTTTGGTTTTCAAGTAGAGATTTGGTTTGGTCCAAAACTGGTTGAAATCAATATTTCACTAGTTTTGTCGGACCAGCCTATTCCTACCGTTTGAACCACCTAAACAAGGTTGGATGACTTTTTGTAATATTTTATATATTTAAGCTATTATTCCTAATTTTATTTTTATTTTTTGAAAATCTGGTCCTATAGGTTCAACTAGCGGAGTAGCAATTAAGACAGTTTTGATTGGACTAAATCCCTAACTAGTGTAGCTGCCGGTCTGATTATGATAACATTGGAGAATAACACATGGGATCTGAGTCGTGATATTGAAAATTGCATATATCAAAATATTAGTGGGAGAATATTGAAATGACATGGCACATTTTCCATAATATTGAATGACAATTGGCACATTTTCATGCCTCTAGGATCCATTATGTTAGCATGTATGTACAAAATATATTTCAGAAACAACTTCTCTTAAATTAATGAGTGGATTGTAAAGTATATCCTAGTGATTAAGACAGTTTTATGAAAATGACCATTATAAAGTGTTGGATTCTTATCAAGACTACTTGCGTATTAATAATGTACCTGAAGGCTTGTTGATATAAACCATAACCACCTAAAGAGTTTCATGCATAATGATGGGGGGCATGACACTTGAACTTGTAATGGTTCTCAACATCAATGGACCACTTGTTTTCAAGAGGAAATCCATAAGATGAGACTACAAACAAAGGTGGAAACCCTCTGTACTTATGCCTAAAGAGAAGAGTGCCTCTTTTGTTTCCTCTGTTGACTGCAATGTTTCTTCATTGAAATTACAAAGAGATGATAGCAACATTTTCTATGCTTCATGCCACCTGCTTACTTGTTTCCTTCAAAATTACATAATAAAAGTAAAGTACGAAACCGTCTAAGAAGATTTGAAAGTTAGCTATTTGATAATCATTCTGCAACAGTATGTTGAAGGTATTTCATGCCATCGGTTAATGAACGGACACATACAGGGTACCAGGTGAAAAAGTTTTCTTAGTGTGAGAATTTGGGGCTTTATATTAACATGCCTTGTATTAATTCTGGCCAGGCAGGATTCCTGTTCGCTTGTACTTAAGGATTGTCAGTGAGAAACTGAATGACTTGGAAGATTTACCTCCAATCAGTAGTTGGGACGAAATCCGCTACATAAACAGACCGGTTGAACTCCAAAAATATGGTGTGCTTTCATATTTTTGTCTTTCAAGTTCTCTGATGAATTGATAGTAATACATCTTAGACTTTCTTGAGAAGCATAACATTGTCATTGAATGGAATCAGTTAATGAACTCATACTTGATTGATGTGCTTCAGATTCGCTAACCAATTAATGATTCTGAGAATCATTTTCAGTGATCGAGGAATGATTTGATTAGGTCTGGATTAGTAGTTGAAAATATCACCTGTCCATACTATATTCTAAGTAAATATAAAATGATCAATGTGGTCATAGTAGCAATAATGACTCTGGTTTATCACCATTCAATCCATGGGTTGGATGGTGATGGAGAAAATGTAGGTATATGGGTGTCATTCTTGAATTTGTACAGTACGAAGCACTCCCCTCCATCACCGTTCAACTCATTAATGGTACAGTGATAACCTCATGGTTGTGGGGTTTTGGTGAGCATATGGTCGGTTGCAGGATGATTCTCTCTCTCTCTATTTTGCATTGTTACTACAGCGATTAGTACCTACATTATTGTGGATCTGCGATGTTGTAGGGCATATTGAAAATTTTCTTTGTAATTGACATCCAATTGGTGGTCCTGGTCGTTCATAATTGAAGACGTGGGATTGATATTATTGGAATTGGCAGTACATCATTTTCTAACCTCTCTCTCTCGCCCTCTCACACACTCAAACAAAAGGAGCCTATTAAAAAGCTTAAAATATTGCAGGTGTCTGCTCTCTACGAGACGCATTGGAAAGTCTACTGCCTGAGTTGTTCATGCCCAAATCTTCAATGAGAGATCTAAGGATGAGAGAAAAAGAGTCAGGTGGTGGGCCTTCAGGAATTAAATCTGCCCTAGGGCCTGATGACTTTGAAGTAATAAAGAATACTGGGGATGAAGCTGAACAAACACACAACATTGCATCAACAGAAGTGGACTCAGTCGAGAGCTCTTGTCTCAAGCTTATTCGTATTCAAGGGATTGAACCCAATCTGGACCTGCCTTTCTCTTGGGCTGCTAACCATTTGAAAAACCCTGAACACATTCTTCATATATGTCTGTATATCTTAAACAATGAAAGCCAAATCTGATGCATTACTACGCGTGCGGGTTTTGATTTGTTTTTATTTTCCTTTTGGTAATGAGGCTGGGTTTGGCGGTTTCCACATGTATAGATTCTTTGATCCATTTATAACTGAACTCATTTGTTTTTTTTTTGAGGAATGTTGACATATAACTGAACTGAACTCGCTTGTTTTGAATGAATATTTCATATATGCAAAATTCCATAGGAGTTCTCCATAGTTAAAGTGAATGTTACCTTTTTTCCAATTTCTGAGGATAGGGCTTTGGTGTATCGTCCAATGCACCTATTGTAGTGTGTCCACCTTCCAAAATTCATCCTGAAGATGGATTATGGATCTGAAACCTACACGAGTAAATCAACTTTACCACCATGATTATGAATATGAAAAATATGAATTTTGAGCCTTAAAAATGGTCTATTTTGTACTTTTTCTGGGACTATATTTCATTTCTTCAAAGATCATTAGGTTCGCAATAGGTTTTGAGATGGAAGTTC